GTTTTTGGGGGGTGGGGGTGTTGTGTGTTTGACCGTTATGGGGCCACCACCCCCTTTCAATAGCCTCAAAATCACCGAGTTCGTGTGAGGGCTGGGCGGGGGCGGGCATAGCAGTCGCAACCCCAAGGGGCCGACGGGGACCGGGTCGGCCAGGGCCGAGAGAAATCCCCATGCAAGCAGCGGCCGCCCTGCGGGCTTAGATCCGCGGCGGCCGCCCGCATGCGTGCGTGCATTGAATTCGAGGGCGCTGCGCAGGGCGGGCCATGTGGGTCGCCGGTCCATGCGCCGGCTGTCATAACGAAGAGCGGTCCCCGCTGCTTCGGCGCGCTGCGCACCTGCAAAGGGCGCCTTTCCCTGCCAATTGGAAACCGCCAACAATCGCCGAAAATCCCCCGCAACTGCCGAAACCGCCAGGGGCCGCACCATCCGCGTGAACGAGGCGCAGCCGCCGGGCGAGAGGGGCGGCGGCGGCGGCTTCGGCGGCCCCCGGGGCGGCGGCCGCGGCGGTTACGGCGGCGGCGGCGGCGGCTGTGAGCGCCGGGGCAAAAGGGGCCCGGGCACAGCATGGGGGTGTTGAGGCGCGGGGCCGCCGCTGTGCCCACTGCGGATGTCTCCCTCCATGTGGTGATGCTGACGGCTGTCACATGTCACGTTTGCAGTCCTGGTTCCACTTGAGCGTGCAGCTGACAGAATGCCCCCGGCCCCCCTCACCTCCCCGTTCCCGCAGATGGCGGCGGCGGCTACGGCGGCGGCGGCGGCGACTGGGGCGGCGGCGGCGGCGGTGAGCGCGCCCAGCAATGGTCGCAGCGGGTACCCCTGCCGGCCGCACTCGCGTTTTCGTGTCAGCACAGACCCGGGGTGGCCCCCGCAACCCACGCGACTCTCGCAGCGCTGCCCTAACCAATTCCCTGCCGCCTCCGGCTCTCATTCCTCCAGGCTATGGCGGCGGCTACCAGCAGGGCGGCGGCGGCTACCAGCAGGGTGGTGCGCGCCCGTGATGTTTCAACCCTAAACCCTGAATCCTGCAACCTGAGCGGCGCCCGCGCCGACGCACAGGCGCAGCCTCGGGGCTGGATCTGCTCGTTTGCATGCACAGGAGGCTTGGATCATGAAAAGCAGTGACAACTGCATCGACACGCTCCCTTTTACTACATGCCCCCGCGCTCTGCGTCCCCTCAACTTGCCATCCCGCGAATTGCTGCAAACGCGCCCGCCCCCCCTTTGTGCAGGCTATGGCGGTGGCGGCTACGGCGGCGGCCGCGGTGGCGGCGGTGAGCTCCCCTAGCCGCGGCGCCGCGCCTCCCCTCTCCTCCCCATGTCGGCGCACGCCGTGTTCAGGCAACCGCCCGCGATCGGCGCGCCCCTGCGGCTGATCCTCCTTCCCACCCACGCATGCAACAAACACTCCCGCAGGCTACCCGCCCCAGGGCGGCGGCTATGGCGGCGGCGGCTACTAAATCGTCCCAGCCAGAAAAGGGCGGCGTCGGCAATCACGCATGCGTGCGTGTGTGCGTGTTTGTGTGCGGGGCCCGGCCTCGCCCCATGCAACGTGGCAGACGGCGCGGCTGGCGCGGGGCGGCGCTCGTCTCAAGGGTGGCAAAGGGGGGCGGCCGCGGCCGCTTCGCCCCTCTTTCAAGGGAGAATCGCCGCGTGCCGCGCAGCCCTGCATCGCGCCGCCGTCCGGCGTGGTGGGCGGCTGCGGCGGCCCGCAGCCGCTCGCCGGGCGCCGCCGCGGGCAGGGAGCGCGGGTGGCCGCGGGTTCAAGAAGCGAGATGGGGACCAAGCGGCCTGCTTGGACACGCGATGGGGCGCCGTGCCCCTTGGGCGGCCCCCTGGCCCCGTGCGCCTGTTTTTCGCAAGGGGGCCTAGAGCAGGTGCCCTTGATGTGTGGTGTGTGTATGTGCGTGTGTGTGTGTGTGTGTGTGTGTGTGTGTGTGTGTGTAGTGCGTGTGTGATTGCTTGGGTAAACCCTCGGCACGTGTGTCCGATCCTACCAACACACTGCATCCTGACGAATGCCCCAATGGTGTAGCGCCGAAAGCCGCACGCACGCCCCGCCATGCCCCGCTCGCTTGCGACCTGGGGCTCAGTGATTTGCGATTGCTGCGCGTGTGCTGTGGCGGCGCGCCGACCCAGACGATTTGCGTCGTATCAAGAGGTGGCCTGGGTGGCGGGAAGTGAACGATAAATTGTGGGGTTGGAGCATGCGGAGGGTGAACGAGGAATTGTGGGGTTGGAACGCCTTGTAAGCATCGCCGCGTTTTTGGGCGTCATGGTATGGGCTAGGGGCGGAGCGTCCCGCAAGCTGGCGTGTTGCGCCGTGTCCGCAGCAGCGGACGTATCAGCAGGGTGGTGGCCAGCCGCCCGAAGGGCAGCTGCCCGCGCAGCGACTGCTCCGGGCGCAGAGGTTTGTGGCAGCAATCGAGCTGCAAGAGCCGAACTTCATTTCTCACAATCTCACAACGTTTCAGAGGTTTCTGAAGACCAGAGAGAGTCAAATCGCTGGTAGCGGGTTTCCGCGGCTTCATTTGGGCTCGTACCCGCGGGCTAAGCAGGGGTTTGGAGACTACGGTTGCAGCCTATGCTGAGCTTTTAATGTTTCAAAAGATGCTCTGCCTCATTTGAGCCCCGACAGGGCAGCGACTCATCAGCCGTGGGCCGCGCGAAGAATGGCGTCGTGTAGCCCCTTCTCCGAGCTCGCGGTGCAAGCCACATCGGAGTTACTTCCTCTGGAGCCTCAGGTAATGTCATGCAGGACAAACACCGACGATGGTTTTCCGGAGGCCTGCTTTGTGCTTGCCCACTACGCGTGGTGTACTTCGCACTGCGTCTCGCAAGACGCGTGGAACAGGCCCGATATGCTATGCTTTTAAGCCGCGTTTCTCTGAGATCGAGCCACTCGGCGCACCTGCACACACCTCACCGGGCCAAGCCTGCCGCTCCTGCCCTCATGCCTCCAGACACCAACCACATCAAAACCTCCCCGCCCCTGCGCCGCCTCGGCCGCCTGCATCACACACCCCCACCCCCGAACAAACCCTAAACAACAACACAGGACCTGCAGCACGCGACTGTCCTGTGCGAGGCAGTGTACTGCCCAGACGACGCCGAGGCGCGGCGGGAGGTGCGGGCGCTGTCCGCGCTCATGGGCGCGCAGCAGCAGCTGACAGACGTAACCCTGCACGACGCGGCGGGCCAAAGGTGAGCCTGGGCGAGATGACCCATCCTATTCCACGGCCAGCGGCGCACCAGGCCGGCCTCTCGGGCAGCCTGTCGCAGCCGCTGGCGCGGACGCGTCACCCTCTGCCGAGCGGGACGGTCTTCTTGGGCGCTGCGCGGCGGGCGTGCCTCGCAACAGCGCCGGCGCGTCCCCATGCCTGTGTGCGGCGCGAACCCCCGTGCCGCCGCAGGTACATCGTCGGCCACTCGCCCACCGCCATGTTTGTGTGCTTTCAGGTGCGCTGAAACGGGGTCAGGGCTTCAAAAACCGCCGGCCGTCCCTCTGTTTCCCCCGCGCCCCCAGCGTCGGAGGCGGCGAACCCCAACTAGCTGGTACCTGACAAGGCAGCCAGGGGTTTGAGTCCGGGTTTAGGCGGCACCAGGCCTCAGGGGGCGCCGCGGTCGGGTGTGCGGGCGCCAGCTGCCGCGGCCGGAGGAGCTTCGGAGCAACTCGGCGTGCCACTCTATGTGCACCAGTAAAGTGAAGCACACGCCATGGCAGCTTGCTACCGCAACACCCACACCCGCCCTTCAAAAAACATCAAAATCTCCCCTTCAGGGCACAAAGTACGTGAAGGATTGGATTGCAAACCTCAGCTTCCGCCACGCCACCATGTGGGCGGGCGACGACAAGGCCAAGGTGAGGGATCCGGGACCAGTTAGTAATCAATGAGTAATCATGACGTCATGCGACACGCGCCCGCGCCGCGCCACGTGCGGTGCCCGGCGTGCGAGCGGGTGCGGTACGAAGGGACTCTTCTGCCTGCTGCAGGGGTTGCCCGCCGCGGCAACCTGTTGCAGCGAGCAAACCCTCCACGGGTCCCGCGCTCTGAGCCCCCGCGCCCCACCCGCGCCCCCCGCCCGCGTGCAGGCCCCCGCCGCGCACTGCGGGTTCAGCGGGCGCTCGGTGGCGGTCCCGCTGGACGAATTATACGCAAAAGCCCAGGCGGCCAACAAACGGCTCGTGCTCTGCGGCCACTCCCTGGGCGGTGCCGTGGCTCTGGTGTGCGCGATCAAGCTGCTGCGCGTCTGGGCGGCCCGGCAGCTGGGCGGCAGCTACGCGCCGGGCGACGCCGCTTGCGCCGGCGGCGGCAGGCCGCCGGCGCCGGCGCCGCGGGGGCGGCGGGAGCGGCGGGCGCGGCGGCAGCAGCGGGACAGCCAGCATCTAGCAGCTGCCGCCGCAGCGGCTGCCGCGGCGCCGTTTGCCGACCCCGACATCAGATGCATCACGTTTGCGGCGCCGGCCGTGGCGAACGAGAGCTTGGCCGCCGAGGTTGTGGCGGCGGGGTGGGACCGGCTGATGTGCAACTTTGTGCAGCCAGGTGAGCGGGGCCATGCTTGTATTTGGTTTGGATTCGGTTGGGAACTTAACTTTCAAGCGAGGCAGCTCTGGGCCGTCCGAAGCAAGGGCTGCGGCGCGGCATGGCAACACGCAGCGTGTCGGCGTGTCGTTGCGCCATGCCGCGTCACCCCCCAAGCTCGCAATTCCTTGAGAGCACGAAATCCGGCGCACCTGCCAAATCCCCAACCCCCAGAGGACGTCGTGGTGCCGTTTGTCAACAAGCTGCTCAAGGCGGAGGAGGGCAGCGCCGCGCTCGAGCGCACGCTCAGGCGACTGGCCAGCAGCTCCGACGTCGTCGCCGCGGCCGCCGCCGCCGCGGCCG